GAAAGGGCCCAGCCCTGAGAAACAGCAATCTTCCAATGGCTGGAGTCTTTCCTCCTTGTTTTAAACAACCTGGGACATGAAGGTCAGAGGCTGCTGGCTCTGAAATGTGGGGCTGCAAAGTATTATGGCCATCCTCAAATAGCTCTGTAAAAAAGACACAAAACCAGATTTTGAAGGGAGGGGTGGCTCAGTGGAAGAGTGCTTGTTGAGCATGCACAAAGCCTTAAGGTTGATCCCCAGCACCACCCCAACAAAAGGCACAAAACCAAGTAATTTTTCAGTTTTGTATTTTTATATGAAAAATATCTAGTGGGTGCTGGGATTGAATGGGGAGCAACAGGTTGAGATGCTGATAGCGCCTCTTGTGGGTGAAGTGGCCATTACCTCTGGTTTCTGTCTGTCTGAATATGGGGGAAAAATAGAGAAGGGAAATTATAACCAGGTCTATAATCTCATCCGTTCCTTGTTTTATCCTACCCTTTGACAAGTCCTGACTCCCTGGATCCTACAGCTCTCTTTATGCTTTTCTTCTTCTTTTTGTTTGCATGGAGGCTTGAGCTCTTGGTTTGGGCGCTGTCCCTGAGCTCCTTTTGCTCAAGGTTAGTGCTCTACCACTTGAGGTCACAGCACCACTTGCCACTTTGTTTTATTTTCCTGTGCTTAATTGGAGATAAGAGTCTCATGTACTTTCCTGCTCTGGTTGGCTTCAAGCCACAATCCTCAGATCTCAGCCTCCTGAGTAGCTAGGATTACAGGCAGGAACCACTGGTGTCCAGTTATGCTTCTTTTATTTGATTTTTTTTTTTTTTTTGGTTAGTCCTGGGGCTTGAACTCAGGGCCTAGGCACTGTCCCTGAGCTTCTTTTGCTCAAGGCTAGCACTCTATAACACTACTTCTGACTTTTCAGAGTATATGGTACTGAGGAGTCAAACTCAGGGCTTCATGCATGCTAAGCAAGCACTTACCAATGAGCCACCTTCCCAGCCCAGCTATGCATTTTTTTTTTTTTTTTTGGTCAGTCATGGGGCTTGAACTCTGGGCTTGGGCGCTGTCCTTGTGTTCTTCAGCTCAAGGGAACACTCTACTGCTTGAGCCACAGTGCCACTTTCGGTTTTGTAGTGGGGTTTATTGGAGGTGAAAATCTCACAGACTTTCCTACCCAGGCTGGCTTTGAACCACAATCCTCAGATCTCAGCCTCCTGAGTAGCTAGGATTATAGGCGTGAGCCAATGGCGCCTGGCTTATGCTTCATTTTTATACTTAAAATAATACTGGGCTGCCTAGCAATTCAAACTCCATTACCACCAAAAATGCCTATAAGCCAGCAAAATCACTCTGTATATATACCCTTTATTATCTCTCACATACCCATTATCCCTAGCAGTTAAGACTACTCTCTCAGGTCAATTCAAACATTTATAATTCTTGGTAAAGCAAAGGACTGTCCTTTCCTTGAGGATTTGCATGTGTGTGTATGTCCGCACTGGGGCTTGAACTCAGGCCCTGGATGTTGTTTCTTAGCCATTTCACTTAAAGCTAGTGCTCTACCACTTAAACTATAGCTCCACTTCTGGCCTTTTTTGGGGAGGGAAGGGGAACCTGACTTCCCAAGCTATGGGGGAAACGCAGTAGCTGGACACAGTGGCCCTCATCTGTCTTCCCAGCAACAAAGGGAAGCACAGCTGGGCGCCAGTGCCCCCCAGAATCCTAGCTACTCAGGAGGCTGAGATCTGAGGATTGCGGTTCAAAGCCAGCCTGGGCAGAAATGTCTATGAGACTCTTATCTCCAATTAACTTCCATAAAACCAGAAGCAGTGCTGTGGCTCAAGTGGTAGAGCCCTCACCTTGAGCTGAAACGCTCAGGAACAGCGCCCAGGCCCAGAGTTCAAGCCCCACAACTGACAAAAAAAGTGGGGGGCGGGAGGGGAGAGCACAACTAGGATCACAACCTAGGCATAAAGCAAGACCCTATTTAAAAAATAACCAGGGTGAAAAGAAGCTTACCGTGAGCTGAAAAGCTCAGAGACAGTGCCCAGGCCCAGAGTTCAAGCCTTACCACCAAAAAAACCAAAACACAAAAAAACTGATAGAATAGCTCAAGAGGTAGAACACCTGCCTAGCAAGTGCAGCCCTGAGTTCAAACCTCAGTACCACACACACATAGTAAAATAAAAGCACCGAAGCTGGGAATGTGGTTTAGTGGTAGAGTGTTTGCCTGGGTTCAATTCCTCTGAACCAAATAAACAGAAAAAACCAGAAGTAGCACTGTGGCTCAAGTGGTAGAGTGCTAGCCTGGAGCAAAAGAAGCTCAGGGGCAGTGCCCATGCCCTGAGTTGAAGCCCCAGGACTGGCAAAAGAGAAAAAAAGAAAAAAAAAAAAAAAGCCCTAACTCTGTGGTAGAGTACAGACAGCTTGCCTAGTATGTGTGGGGCTCTGGGTTCAATATCCCCAACACGAGAATAAACCAATTTAGCCTGATGGCTCATGCATGTAATCCTAGCTACTAAAGAGTACTGTATGTGTATTGTAGTTCAAAGCCAATCCAAGCAAGAATGTCCATATTTCTTTTTTTTTTTTTTTTGGTCCAGTCATGGGGCCTGAACTCTGGGCCTGGGCGCTGTCCCTTAGCTCTTCAGCTCAAGGCTAGCGCTCTACCACTTGAGCCACAGCGCCACTTCCGGCTTTTTTCTTTTTGTTTATGTGGTGCTGAGGAATCAAACCCAGGGCCTCAGGCATGCAAGGCAAGCGCTCTACCACTGAGCCAACTTCCCAGCCCGAATGTCCGTATTTCTCTCCAAAAAGTAGAAGTGGGAGCTGGCTCATGCCTGTAATCCTACTCAGGAAGCTGAGATCTGAGGATCAAGGTTCAATGCCAGCCAAGGCAGGAAAATCCAGGAGACTATTTCCAGTTAACTGCTAAAAAACCGGAAGTGGTGCTGTTTGCTCAAGTGGTAGAGCATTAGCCTTGAGCTGAAGAGCTGAGGGACAGCACGCAGGTCCAGAGTTCAAGCCCCATGACCAACAAAAAAAAAAGTAGGCCAGGCACAGGTGGCTCGTGCCTGTAATTCTAGCTATTCGGGAGGCTGAGATCTGAGGATCACAGTTCAAAGCTAGCCCAGGCAGGAAAGGCTGTGAAACTCTTATCTCCAATAAACCACCAGAAAACTGGAAGTGACATTGTGGCTCAAGTGGTAGAGTGCTAGCCTGAGCTGAAGAGCTGAGGGATGGTGCGCAGGCACAGAGCTCAAGCCCCACAACAGACAAAAAAAAAAGGAGAAGTGGGGTTGTGACTCAAGTGCTAGAGCACCAGCTTTGAGTGAAAAAGCTAAGGGACTGCCTAGGCCCTGAGCTCAAGCCCTAGTACTAGCACAAAAGAGTTCATAGCTGGGCACTGGTGGTTCATGCCTGTAATCCTGAGGACTGAGGGCAGGAAAGTGCATGAAACTCATCTCCAATCAACCACTCAAAAACGAAGTGGCGCTGTGGCTCAAAGTGGTAAAGCACTAGCCTTGAGCAAAAGAGCTCGGGACAACGTCTAGGCCCTGAGTTCAAACCCAGGACCAGCATGGAAAAACAACAACAACAAAAGTAGTAGTCTATGCCTGTAGACTGAGTCTAGTTAGACTGTAGTCTAACTCTGTAGACTGAGGCAGAAGGATCACCTGAGCCCTGAAGTTCTAGACCAGATTAGACAACATACTGAGACCCTGTCTCAAAAGGAAAAATGGAAATGGGTAGAATGGCCAACGATAATATGAATAAGTAGTGCATCTTATGAATCCATAACCAAGATAGTAACAGTCTATGCAAACACTGGCATAGCAACAGGATTTGCTTAGTATCCCCAATTGTTAGATACTGGCTCATCATTCAAACACTTACTGGTTGCATCTCGGTGAACACTGAAGAGAGACTATTCCAGATATCTTCCAAACCATTCTTGACCCGTTTCCAAAAAGCGAGAGCTGGGCTGGGGGTGGTGGGAGGCACCGGGAGGGGTCTTCGTCGGAGGTGGATGGGGGGCAGGATGGTGGTGGTGGTGGTCCGGGAGGTGGTGGTCGTCTGAGAGCTGCAGCTGCTTTCAGCACAGAGCCCGGTGTCCAGGGGGCATTCCTCCCGCAGTCGGTTGCAGGGACATTGCTGGTAGGTGCAAGGTCGGTGCTCGGTGCGGAGTTGGCTCAGTGCTCCAACTCTGAGGCGCCCAGATAAGCCTTGCAGCTTCCCGGCCCGGCTCCGGCTCATGGTGCCTGACTTGCAATGGCAGTGCCATGGGCCCCAGGGCATCAGCACCAACCGCAGATCCTCAGGAGCTGGCATGGCTGTGTGTGAAGATGATGGCCACGTCTTGGGGGTGGAGCCAGCGGTGGACCACTGGTTGAGGGAGGCCACGGAGCTCAGCAGTTCATCAGTGTACTTCGCAGTGAGGGGCGGCAGGTCTGTGGTCATCCTGATTTCTTTATCCTGACTGTTAGCTACCACCTTGCGGGCGCTGGAACTTAACACCTTATTGGGAGTTGTATTGGGCGTCCCAGAGCTGGTGTTATTCTTTCGGGCATCAATCACCACCCCTTCTTCCAAAGACCCGTCCTCGTCCTCATTGGGGCTGGGGATAGCCGTCCGGCTGATGCCCGTCACTGTGGCCAAGAGCTCGGCAGCCGCCGGGCCGGCCAGGCGGTCAGCGGTGGCCAGGGCATCGTTCTCATCCTCCAGAGTTATCTTGGGCTTCCGAAGAGTGGTCTGGTTGGCGTTGTTTGTGGTCCTGCGGCTGCGGGCTGGAGCCCCAAAGCGGAAGCTGACCCGCTGCATCCCCGTGGTCATCGTGGGAGCCGAGGTAGAGTTGTGGGCCCCCGCCGCCCGGGACCCCAGACTAAGCAGCAGGGCCCAGAGCAGCACGCCGGCGGCGGGGACCATGGGGCTGGGAGGCTTGGGGTTGGGAGGGGGCGGGTTCCTACCTTCTCTCCCTCCCTTCCACTCACCAGGGCCCACGCCCCTCCCCTAAGTCCTCTCCCTGAGGTGGGGCTGAGCTCAAAATCCTAGGGAACCTGGGCCAGAGAGAATTCCAAGCTAGAACCAAAAGGCGGATTGTGATGTAAGGGGATGGGACAAGGGTCGTTTACTTCCTTGATACAGACTTTATCTCTCCGTTTATTAACAGTTACAGGGCAGAATTTACTAACAAAGACAAAAACACAGGCGTTCAAAGTGCTCCTTCCCAGGAGCAGAGGCGGCAGGTATATATGGGTTCTTGAGGTCTTGGGAGCGCCCTCCTGGCTCCCAGCAGGCAGGTTGGGCTGTCCTTGGCTCCTCTACCTCATCTCCCCTCAGCCCCTTCTCTTACAGAGGTGGAAAATGAGACCCAAAGACCTGAGGTTATTTGGCCAAGCTTTTACAGCTAAAGCAGGGTTGCAATCCAGTTTGACACTTCCAATGCTACTACAGTCAGTCAGCTTTCCATTGGGACAATGGTAATGAAAACCACTGGCAGATCAGATTCCCAGCCTCCAAACCCTCCTGGATTCCAGCAGCACCACGGAGGGAATGTCATCACAAGAAGTCAAGATGCCATAAGGTGGTGCTGGGATGGAGGGTGAGATGATTTACAAAACAGCTCAGATGGTTCTGGGATTGATGCGTAGGCAGGTCTTTGCTTGGTTCTAAGGTCTTTTATCCAGTCGTGCTAGGTTTTCCTGAGCCATGAATTTCTTGGTCCAACCTATATAAGTGAGTGGGTAAAAGAAGTGGTTTGGGGTCAGGGCTTGGGCTTATTTATTAATCTGGGGAAGGAAGGAAGATGAATTGAACAGACTAGAAGATTGGGTGCTTGAGTTATTACTTAGCATCTTTTGCTTCCTAATACTTCCTTCTCCACTGGATATAATCTAAGCACTGTCAACATGGCCCATCCTAATCTCTAGGTTGTTCTGATTGTAAACTCTGGGCTATAATTATTTTTCAATGTCTCTGAATTTTAATATGTAATTGTTTTCATTTGTTCTTGATGAATGTAATAGTAGCCCTAATTTCTCCTCTAGGCAGATGAACATTTTCCAGATACACTGAAGCACCTAAAAGAGTTATTTAGAGCCGGGCACCGGTGGCTCATGCCTGTAATCCTAGCTACTCAGGAGGCTGAGATCTGAGGATCACGGTTCAAAGCCAGCCCAGGCAGAAAAGTCCATGAGATTCTTATCTCCAATAAACCACTAGAAAACCGGAAGTGGTACTGTGGCTCAAGCGGTAGAGCTCTGGCCTTGAGCTAAAGAGCACAGGGACAGCACCCAAGCCCAGAGTTCAAGTCCCACTACCGACAAAAAAAAAAGTTATTTAGTTCTTTTGTATCTTCCCCAAGGCATTAAAAAAGAGGGGACTGGGGCTGGGAAAGTGGCTCTGTGGTAGGGTGTTTGCCTTGCCTGCATGAGGCCCTGGGTTCAATCCCTCAGCACCACATAAGCAGAAAAAGCCAGAAGTGGCACTGTGGCTCAGGTGGTACAGTGCTAGCCTTGAACAGAAGAAGATCAGGGACTGTGCCCAGGCCTGGCAAGAAAGAGAAAGAAAGAAAGAAAGGAAGGAAGGAAGGAAGGAAGGAGAGAGAAAGAAAGAGAGAAAGGAGGGAGGGAGGGAAGGGAAGGGAAGGGAAGGGAAGGGAAGGGAAGGAAAGGAAAGGAAAGGAAAGGAAAGGAAAGGAAAGGAAAGGAAAGGAGGGGACTGCTGGGTCCAGTGGCTTGTACCTGTAATCCTAGCTACTTAGGAGGCTAAGATCTAAAGATCATGGTTTGAAGCCAGCTGGGGCAGGAAAGTCTATGAGACACTTACCTTCAATTAGCCAGCAAAAAGCCACAGGTGGACCTGTGACCCAAGTAGTAGAGTGTAGCCTTGAACAAAAAGCTAAGGGACAGTACCTAGATCCTGAGTTCAAGCCCCAGGACTGGCACAAAGAGAGAGGGGGGAAGAGAGGGAGGAAGAAAGGGAGAGAAGGAGAGAAGGAGGGAGAGAGGGAGAGAGGGAGAGAGGGAGGGAGAGAGGGAGGGAGGGAGGGAGGGAGGGAGGGAGGGAGGGAGAGAAAGAGAGACACTGGCTTTACACATCGCACCCCAAACCTTCATCCTTAAAGAATACTCACTGTCTGACAGCTTCAGGAATGTGGACTTGATCTAAAGAGATGAGTTGGGCTAACTCCTCCAGGCTGTTCAAAAAACGGACTTTTCGTGTGAATTTAGAACTGAAAAAAAGAATATACAAAATATGTTTTGTACTGAGAGGCCAGTATTTGTACATCTTTGTTATTTTTTTTTGGAGGGGGAGGGGGGGGTTTGTATCCAGTCCTTGGCCTGAACTCTGGGCCTGGGTGCTGTCCCTCAGCTCTTCAGCTCAAGGCTAGTGCTCTACAACTTGAGCCACAGTACTACTTCTGGCTTTTTTTTTTTTTTTCCTGCTTATGTGGTGCTGAGGAATCGAACCCAGGGCCTCATGCATGCAAGGCAAGTACTCTACCACTGAGCCACCTTCCCAGCCCTGCACATCTTTATAAAGGGTTGGGCATGGTGGGGCATGGCTATAATACTAGCAGTTCAGCAGGCTAAGACAAGAGGATAGGCCACCATCATCGATCTCACAGACAACCAAAGGCTGTGTTGGGGCTCAGGTGGCAAAACACTTAAGTGCAAGGCCCCGGGTTCAAACCCAAGTGCAAAGGAAAATGTAGCAAATAGAATGGTGGGGAAGAATCTCCCTTTTTCTTTTCTTTTCTTTTTTTGTCAGTCATGGGGCTTGAACTCTGAGCCTGGGTGCTATCCCTCAGATCTTTAGCTCAAGGCTAGCACCCACTTGAGCTACAAGCACCACTTCGAGTTTTCCTTTTTTTTTTGTCAGTCGTGGGGCCTGAACTCTGAGCCTGGGCGCTGTCCCTCAGCTCTTCAGCTCAAGGCTAGGGCTCTACCACTTGAGTCACAGCACCACTTCCAGCTTTTTTCTGCTTATGTGGTGCTGAGGAATCGAATCCAGGGCCTCATGCATGCAAGGCAAGCGCTCTACCACTGAGCCACCTTCCCAGCCCTCACTTCTGGTTTTCTGAGTGATTTATTGGAGATAAGAGTCTCACAGAGTTTCCTGCCTGGGTTGGCTTTGAACTGTGATCCTCAGATCTCAGACTCCTGAGTAGCTAGGATTCTAGGTGTGAGCCACCAACGCCAGGTTGAGGAAGAATCTCTTAAGTCTTGATTTTGAAAACAGGAAAATGGGGAGTCCTTCTCCCCAGGGCTAGTACCTGATGAAGGGCCGAAGCAGGGCCAGAAATGCCTTCACATACCACGTAGCATGGACAACCACTAGGGCTCGTAGGTTTTTCCGGAGCCTGTAGGAGAACATGAGGAAATGGTCTTATTCCTGGTTCCACCTTCATCCTGGAGATCAGGTGGAGCTCTCTTCCATCCTGCAAGCTCCTTGGCTTCTCTAATTTCTAGATTTCTCCAGCAGTTGGGTCTAATCCCATTTCATTAGCTGCTGTCTCAGCTCCACCCAGCTTATTTAGCCTTCCACGCTCATTTTTAGGAAATCTTCCTTTCAGAATATCTGAGTCTAGCCTTTTTTTTTTTTTTTTTTTTTTGGTCAGTTGTGGGGCTTGAACTCTAGGCCTGGGCGCTGTCCCTCAGCTCTTCAGCTCAAGGCTAGTGCTCTACCACTTGAACAACATCACCACTTCCGGTTTTTCTGATTGTTAATTGGAGATAAGAGTCTCATAGACTTTCCTGCCCGGACTGGCTTTCACCTGGGATCCTCAGATCTCAGCCTCCTGAGTAGCTAGGATTACAGGTGTGAGCCACCAGTGCTCGGCGAGTCTAGCTTCTTTACCCCATTTCCCTCATGCCCTATTCTGAAAATTCCTTTTGCAAAAATAAATAATTTTGGGGGGTCTGTGTGTACTGGTACTGGGGCTTGAATTCAAGCCCTCATAGTCTCATTCAGCTTGCTTACTCACAACTGGTATGCTATCATGCTGAGCCATGCCTATAGCCCAGAATTTTGCTGGCTAATTGGAGATGGTCTCACTCAAATTTTCTTACTCATGCTGGCCTTCATACCATGATCCTCCGAGTCTCAGCCTTTTTAGTAGCTAGGATTACAGGTATGAACCACCTCTTTTCCTGACCAGGACTATTTATAAAACTCCATTGTGGCTGGAAGAGTAGCCCAAGTGGTAGAGTGCCTACCTGAGTTCCAGCTCTAACACCTCAAAAATAGAAAATTAGGGGGGGAGGGGGGAGGCTGGGAAGGGAGGTGAAGGGTAAACAAAGGAGGAGGCCGCAATGCTTGGTAAGAAATGTATGCATTATCCTGCCCATGTAATTGTAACCCCTCTGTACAGTATGTTCTCAAATAAAATAAAATAAAATTAAAAAAAAAATAGAAAATTAAAAAAAAGAAAAAGAAGAAAAATTCAAGTGAAAGAAAATCAATTAAGGAGGAAAAAGGACAGAAAAAAGAATAGTAAGCAAAGGGAAGATGAGAGAAGCAAAAGAAAAAAGGGAACACAGAAGTAGGAAAAGACATGTAGAACAGGTAAAAGGAAGAGAAGACAATGGTCATGTGGAATGGGAAGTAAACAGGCTGGAAGAAGAGACAGAGAGCCTTCTGTCAGGAAATATGCTGATTTTTTTTATCTCCACAGACGCCTAGTGGCAAAGGTTACCATTGCCATTTTATAGACGAGAAAACTGAGGCCCAGAAAAGTGAAACAACTTGTCCAGATCATTCAGCTAATAAATAAGTGATAAAAACAAGATTCAAAGCTAGATAGCCCTGGTGCCAGGAGTAGACCATAGATAGAAGAGGCTTTGCAGGGGGGGGGGGGGGGGGGGGGGGGCTGGGAAGGTGGCTCAGTGGTAAAGCGCTTGCCTTGCATGCTTGAGGCCCTGGGTTCAATTCCTCAGCACCCATAAGCCAAAAAAAAAAAAAAAAAAAAAGCCGCAAGTGGCGCTGTGGCTCAAGTGGTAGAGCGCTAGCCTTGAGCTGAAGACCTGAGGGGCAGCGCCCAGGCTCAGAGTTCAGGTCCACGACCAGACCCAAAATAAAAAAAACAAAACAAAAAAGAAGAGGCTTTGGAAGGGGCTACGGAGGAACGAAAGATAAAGAGAATCGAATGAGGCGGTCTACACCTGCAACCTCAGAACTCAGGAGACTAAGAGGGAAGAATTTATTTTTATTTTTTTGAACTGGTCCTGGGGCTTTGAATTCAAGATCTGGGCACTGTCCTTGAGCTTTTATGCTCAAGGCCAGTACCACTTGAGCCATAACTCCACTTCAGCAGTTTTGGTGTTTAATTAGAGACAGGTCTCATGGTTTTCCTGCCTGGGCTGGCTTTTTTTTTTTTTTTGTAGTTATTTGTGGGGCTTGAACTCTGGGCTTAGGCACTGTCCCTGAGCTCTTCAGGCCTAGGCAGGCACTTGAGCCACAGTGCCACTTCTGTTTTTTTCTGGTAGTTAATTGGAGATAAGAGTCTCACGGACTTTCCTTGCCTGGGCTGTCTTTGAACTGTGATCCGCATATCCTAGCCTTCTGAGTAGCTAAGATTACAGGCGTGAGCCACCAGCGCCCAGTTGGCTTCAAATTTTGATCCTCAGATCCCAGCTTCCTGAGTAGCCAGGATTACAGACATGAGCTATTTGATACCTGGCTCCAAAGATAGGAGACTATCAAGTATGAGGTCAGCTTGGGCCACATAGTAAGACCTAATCTTAGAAAAAGAAGTACATAAATAAGATGAAGAGATTAAAAAGATGGAAAAGTTTAGAAAAGTGTTTTGTGGTCCTCTTGAGCTATGGTCTTACCGTCGATCCAAAGTACGGTAACACTGGCGTATCCAGCTCAGAGGGGGAACTTGGGCCCTACTTGTGCCTCCGCTCAAGTGAACAAGCAGGTAATTTTCAGCTACCAGCAGCTCTAGAGTTCCCACGATATACCTGAAGGAGGAAATGGTAGGTGAGGTACGTGTTGCTGGTTTGGGGGAATGAAGGGATATTGTCTATTGATCTTGGACAGGCTTCTTCCCTTCCCTTCCTTATCCCCTCTCTGTGGCTCTTCAGACTTTGTACCTTACCTAAACAAGTGTTCCATGACATAGGTGTAATTGTGGATGTTGCTTCGGGGTAGATAACAGGAAGCAAAAATGATGACAGCATTGAGACCATCACCATGATAGCCTAGAGGGAAGGGAAAATTCACTTAGGCCACAAATATGAAATGACAGACAGTCCCTCTGTTTAGGTTGAGGGATGCTGAAGGTTTCTGGAAGTTACAGGAAGGGTGGTGAACCTAATAGCTGAATCTCCAGTTTAGGCAGTTTAGTCAAGAAGGTATAGTTTTGACTCCTCCATTTCTGTTAACCATTACCTCCATGAGACAGGACCTTCTTATAGGGCTCAATGACAGTCATGTCCACTCGCTGCTCCCGTTGTCCTGTTCGAAACACTCTCCAGCGGTGACCATCTTCTCCAGCCACATCCCACACACAACCCCGGCCCAGCCTTTCAGCTGCCTCGCTGGCTCGGAGGCTCTCTGCCCGGGGCAGGTCGTCTAAAATAAAGGAGTAGGGAAGAATCCACAGAGTAGATTTCCTACTTTCAGTCTGGGTTCTAACCCTGTACTTTTGTGCTCTACCACTTTGAGCCACTGCACCATTTCTGGTTCTATTTAGTTAATTGGAAATAAGAATCTCATAACTTTCCTGCCTAGGCTGGCTTTGAACCGTGATCCTCAGATCTCAGCTAGAAGTAGCTAGGATTACAGACATGAGCCACGTGCCTGACATTCCTCAAATTTATTTACTTATTTATTTCTAGCAGTACAGGGGTTTGAACTCAAGACCTTACACTCTCTAGGCAGGTGTTCTATGACTTGAGCCATACAACCCAGCCCTTTTTTGCTTTAGGTATTTTTCAGGTAGGGTCTCACATATCTGTCCAAGGTTAGCTTTAGACTTTGATCCTAGGGCCTTTGGCTTAGCTAGGACTACAGACATGCACAACTACCTGCCTTATTTATTGAGACAGGGGGTCTCAATAACTTTTGTGACTGACTTAGACTTGATTTTCCTGATCTCTATCTCTGTAGCTGGATTATAGGCATGAGCCACTGTGCCCAGCTCATTCCTCAAGTTTTTCTCTTGATCTTTAACCCCAGTGAGTCCAGTTAATCCAACCCCTTTCTGGTCTCTTTCTCCTGAGATTCATTAGCCTCACCTTTTCAAGGTCTTAGGGTGACCTTGTACTATGGCAGGTCTATGACTCTTCCCAGTATCAGAATTTTATCCTCTATATTTTCTATTTATTTTTGATGGTATTAGGGATTGAACTCAAGGCCTTTTACTTACAAGGCAGGCACTCTACCATTTGAGTCATACCTCCAGCCCCATTTGTTTTTAGAGATGATGTTCTCACTATGTTACCCAGGTTGGCTTTAAACCTGGGATCTCCCCACTCAGATCTAAGTACTTGGGATTACAAGCATGCATCACCACACTTACTTCTCCATTTCTTTCTTTACATGCTTCTTCCAGGCTGAGCTCAACTATTTCTATGTCTTCAATTATAACCAGTAAGGTGACTCTCAAAATAGTCTCTGTTACTCAGATTCATATCTGCAAATGCCTAGAGTGGCATCTCCACTGGTATCATCTGGTCAGCAAGTCATAGACCCAAAAGAGAAGTCAAAATCATTCTATTTTTTCCTCTGCCTTGTATTTCCTATCTTGATCCAATTTACCTCGCTGCCTGAGAGAAAATTATATCATGTAAGGCTATCAGGGGCTGGGAAGGTGGCTCAGTGGTAGAGCGCTTGCCTTGCATGCATGAGGCCCTGGGTTCAATTCCTCAGCACCACATAAGCAGGAAAAAAAAAGCCGGAAGTGGCACTGTGGCTCAAGTGGTAGAGCGCTAGCCTTGAGCTGAAGAGCTGAGGGACAGCGCCCAGGCCCAGAGTTCAGGCCCACGACTGGACCCCTCCCCCACCCCGAAAAAAAAGACTATCAGCACTCAAATCCCCCAGTCCTCTACATCCATCATTTTCTTTGGTCATCATTTCCACTACCACCTCCATGGTTTGGGTTATTAGCATTTCTCACCTGGCATTAGTACTAGCCTCCTAACTGCTCTTGCTTTTATTTATTTATTTTTTTTGGTCTGGTCATGGGGCCTGAACTCTGGGCCTAGGTGCTGTCCCTCAGCTCTTCAGCTCAAGGCTAGCACTCTACCACTTGAGCCACAGCACCACTTCCGGCTTTTTTCTTATGTGGTGCTGAGGAATCGAACCCAGGGCCTCATGCACGCAAGGCAAGAGCTCTACCACTGAGCCACCTTCCCAGCCCCCTGCTCTTGCTTTTTAACTTAAATGATAATATACTATACCCACCATCCAGCATGATTTTTCTAGAAAACCAGAAAGAACAGCCTCATCTTTTAAAATAGTTGCATGGGGCTGGGGTATGTATATCTCAGTAGTAGAATACTTGCAGTAGTAGAGTAGCATGCAGTTTGCCTTGGATTCAATCCCCAGAATCATAAAATATATTTTTAAAAAAATCTGAGCACTGAGCCGGGTGCCAGTGGCTCATGCCTATAATCCTAGCTACTCAGGAGGCTGAGATCTAAGGATTGAAGTTCAAAGCCAGCCTGGGCAGGAAAGTCCGTGAGACTCTTTTTTTTTTTTTAAAGTAACTATACACATTTTAATTTAATACATATATATTATATATACACACACACACACACACACACACACACATGTCTATTAAAACAAGATTATACACCTCTCACTAGAGAGGCTGACATTATGGACCGGGTCAGCACAGGTCAGCCTTCGGGAAGCAGGTGGTGTGCTGAATGGCAGTAGTGCAGGCAGGGCAGGAATAAATAGTAGTGCTTTGGGAGGGGTCCACCCTGGGTGCAAGTGCAGGAACAGCTCCCTAGTGGTAATGTGTGCAAAGCTGCTGACTGCTGGATGGAAGGGTGTCCCTGAGACTCCTATCTCCAATAAACCACTAGAAAACCGGAAGTGGCGCTGTGGCTCAAGCGGTAGAGCGCTCACCTTGAGCTGAAGAGCTGAGGGACAGCGCCCAAGCCCAGAGTTCAAGCCCTACAACTGACCAAAAAAAAAAAATCTGAGAACTGGGAGCTCATACCTGTAGTCCTAGCTACTGTTGGATTGCAGTTCAAAGCCAGCCCAGGCAGGAAAGACTGTGAGACTCCTCTTATCTACAATTAACCACCAAAAAGCTAACCTTGATTAGAAAAGGCTGGGGGATTGTGCCAAGGCCATGAGTTCAAGCCCCAGCACTGACAGACACAGACACAGAGAAACAAGACACACCGATATACAGACACATACACAAAGTAAGCTGCTGAGTGCTTTTTTGGCAATGTCTCACTAACCCAGTCTAGGCTGACCTGGATCTCCATCCTCTTGCCTCAGTCTCCTGAGGGCTGGATTACAGAGGTGCATCACCATATCTGCTAGGATGGCTATTTTTTTTTTTGGTCAGTAATGGGGCTTGAACTCTGGGCTTGGGCGCTGTCCCTCAGCTCTTCAGCTCAAGGCTAGCGCTCTACCACTTGAGGCACAGCACCCTTTCTGGCTTTTTCTGCTCATGTGGTGCTGAGGAATCGAACCCAAGGCCTCATGCATGCAAGGCAAGCGCTCTACCACTGAGCCACCTTCCCAGCCGCATGGGATGGATCTTTTAGTCTTTCAATTTGACCAAATTACTCCCATGATTAAACTTTGTACATTATTCCTCAGTGCCTACAACACAAATGTATAGACTCCTTAGCATGGCAGCAAGTGCCTCTGGATTCCACCTTTGCTTGCGTGACCCAGCGCTCTCCTTTCATATTCTTTTTTCACTTCCCAGCCTTTCTTGTATGCAGTCATGCTTCATACTTTGAATTCCCCAACTTCCATGCTATCGCTTTGTGGTTTAGTTTTCAAAGTTCACTAGAGAATCACCTCCTCTGTAAAGTCTTTCCTAACAGAAACTGACCTTTGCGGGCTGGGAAGGTAGCTCAGTGGTAGAGTGCTTGCCTTGCATGCATGAGGCCCTGAGTTCGATTCCTCAGCACCACATAAGCAGGAAAAAAAAAAAACAAAACCATTTACGAGAAACTGACCTTTGCCTTCTCTACTGTATGCTAAGCACATGTAGAACCTAACCTTTAATTGCCATTATTTGTATATAATGTTTATTTCCTACTAAATAGAGTATTAACTTAGAGGAAGGGCTATTTTGCTTGTCTTTATAAATCCCTGGTATAGTAGTATAGAGCTGTAATCCCTATACTTAGGGAGGCTGAAGCAAGAGTACTTCTAGTTCTAGACCAGCTTAGGCTACATAGTGAGATCCTCATCTCAGAACAAAACAGAACTAGGCACTGGTGGATCATGCCTGTAATTCTAGCTACTCAGGAGGCTGATATCTGAGGATCGTGGTTCAAAGCCAGTCTGGGCAGGAAAGTCCATGAGACTCTTATTTCCAATTAATTACTAAAAAGCCAAAAGTAGAGCTGTGGCTCAAGTAGTAGCTTGCTATCCTTGAGCAAAAGAAGCTTAGAGACAATGCCCAGGCCCTGAGTTCAAGCCCCAGGACTAGCACAAAACAAAACAAAAAAGCACAACAAAATTTCAGTCCTAACTGAAAAATGGCATGTAACTGGCATTCAAGTTTTCCTTTATAAACAAAGGATTTTTCTCCTCTTGACTAGTCTCACAATGGATGTACAAGCTCTAACTTTGCTAGCCTTTCCTTTTGGCCCTAGCCTTATCAGTTCTAATAATAATCCTATTAAATCCATCCTGAGTCCTTGGATTAGTTTCCCACCTTCCCATTCGAATTCATGTCCACTGTCCAGCTGCTCTGAGTCTGAAGGTGTCTCCAATTCATCCACCTCCAGGTCTGAACTGTCATCAGAGGAAGATGTGGAGTGGGTGGAAGGAGCTCCATTATCACTGGGCCCCGCTGTCAGATTCAGCCTCAACTCTGGGGCAGAAAGACGTTTACGCATGGGGCGCTGGCCACACAGAGATAAAGTGCTTGGGGTACCTGGGGTTGGAGAGAGGGAGGAAAAAAATATATAGAAAGATGTGAGTTGGGGGCAGAGGGTGGGGGCTAGAATTCCTAAATATAGAAATACAGATATAAGCCGGGCGCTGGTGGCTCACGCCTGTAATCCTAGCTACTCAGGAGGCTGAGATCTGAGGATTGCGGTTCAAAGCCAGCCCGGGCAGGAAAGACGGTGAGACTCCTATCTCCAATAAACCACCAGAAAACCGGACGTGGTGCTGTAGCTCAAGTGATAGAGCGCTCGCCTTGAGCTGAAGAGCTGAGGGACAGCGCGCAGGCCCAGAGTTCAAGCCTCATGACCGACAAAAAAAAAAAGAAAAAAAGAAACATACATATAAGATATGATATGATGATAGGGGAAAACATGAAACAAAGTGCCACGGGGGGTATTTGGGAAAGGGAGACAGAAATGCAAAGGAATACAGATAACCCTTCAGTGCACTAGAACCAAAAACTTGAGGTCTAGCTACTATCAAACCTACCTGCCTGTGAGTCTCTTTGAGGGTCTTCAGGATCTTCAGAAGGACCATCCTCTTCAGGAAGCAATCTAGAAGGGAAAAGATTAAAAGGGACTCATAGACACAGAAGACTAAAGGCATCAAATTAGGTCTCAGCTTATCTTCCCCCACCACACTATAAATTTACCACCCACCCAGCATCCCACCTCTTCCCATCCAGTCCTAATGCATCCTCCCTCCCCTATATTTGTGATCATCTCACCTAGGGAATTCTTCATCTTGCCATTCCTCCTTCAGCTCCAGCTCCTCAAGTCTCAGGGTTGCTCCCGATTCTGTTGCTTCTACACTCTCCTTGTCCCTAAGATAGTCCCCCAAAAGAAAAAAATAAAGAGAGAGACAATCTAGTGTGTCCTGAGTGAGTGTAACTACGGTACAATGGACAGGCCTTCAAAAGAACTCATCTGCTGGGTGCTGATGGCTCATGCCTTTAATCCTTGCTACTCAGGAGGCTGCAATCTGAGGATCATGGTTCAAAGCCAACACAAGCAGCAAAGTCTATGAGACTCTTATCTCCATTGATCCCTCAGCAAACTGGAAGTGGTGCTATGGTTCAAAGTGGTAATAGAGCGCTAACCTTGAGTGAAAAATCTCAGGGATAGTGCCCTGAGTTCAAGCAAGCCCTAAAACTAGCCCAGGGATAGGCCCTGAGTTCAAGCCCTAAAACTAGCACCAAAAAACAAAAGCAATCAAAAATCCCATCTCTTATCTCCATAGATGTTTCTCCCACCTTCACTGCCTGCCAGAACCAAAAGCACCCACTGATCATTGTAGGAGCAGAGAAAATAGAATATAAAGCTAATCATAATTTACCATTATGGCAGTGACTCCACCTACAATGTAAGGGTGAGATGTCCCATATTACAATTGCCTAGAACCCAGATAAACCTGTCCCAGCCATCCCTGGGCAAAGTTGGGAAAGATGGCACCTAACCAGGCCCGTCTTTCTCCTACCAAGCAGGGGAGTGGCTAGGGGAAACAATGGAGGAGGGAGGTGGTGAGAGATTTGCTGGGGAAGAACTTGGCTCTAAGTGTAGTTCTGAGTCATCTTTTCTGATAGATATTCTAGAGGATGGGAGCCAGAAAAAGAAAGAACATGGGCAGACTTATCAGAGACTAAAGACAAACTTTCACTTTTGTTGTTGTTGTTGTGGGACTTGAACTCTAGACCTGGGCACTGTCCCTGCGCTCTTCAGTTCAAGGCGAGTGCTCTACCACTTGAGCCACAGCACCATTTCCAGTTTTCTGGTTAATTGAAGAGTCTCACAGACATTCCTGTCCAGGCTGGCTTTGAACCATGACCCTCAGATCTCAGCCTCTTGAGTAGCTAGGATTACAGGCGTGAGTCACTCAGCACCCTCTGGTCACCTGGCCTTCCTTTAACTTCTAAACCCACCCCAGCCCTCCTCTGCAAATTACCTCTTAGAAGTCTTTTTCCTTAGAGGAACCCAAGATCCAACCTAGTAAGGGCTGGATGGTGGGAAAAGTCCCTCCCTCCCCGATTCCAATCAAACGCACCAACCTTTGACTTACCCAAGATCTGATTTTTTTTCTGCTTCGTGTATAGTCCCCATCTTCACGATCTTCTTCTGCTCTTTAAACAAAAGAGTTGCAAGGGAGCTGGCTGTCCTAGCCCCCCCAATACTTCTTTACCCTTTTCTGGCTCAGCTGTTGTTGCTCCTGCCTCTAAGGAAGAGGGAGGTGTGGAAGGGAGGGAACCTCAACTTCAAACAGGTTTTGTCACCTCTCCTCCCAAGGAGCAGGTTGGCCCAAAAGAAAAAGCCTGCCTCCTATGTGGGGGCGGGTTTGGGGGAGGAGAGTGTTTACTAAGGTGGCTAGTCACTAATACTTTGGTTATAAGACTATCTTGGGCCTGACTATCTTGGGCCTACTTTTTATTTTAAGTAAAACTGGAGATATGTATCTTACAAGGAAGGTTCTAGGAGAATGAATAAAAGAAAAAAGAGAAGGGGAAGGATTCAGACCATGTGGCTCAGAGACAACAAAAAAAGTAGAGTGGGAAGGAGGCTGAAACAATTACTGAAGGGAAAAGACAATAAGACAATAAGACCTCAAACAGGAAAAAAAGTATTTAATACTTTAACAAAATGCAAAATAAGGTACCCAAGTTACAAAACATAAATTCCTTTGGTTCAGTAATCACACGACCATTTTTACATTCCAAATGGCTACAGATGTCGTACCCTTAAAGTCACACTGTCCCCCTCAACTGGAAGATGTCATGCCAAATCCATCACATACCCCGCTGTTGGGTGAAATGCTGGCAACTTACATGGGGTATGGAAAGGGGGGGAAGAGGTTGGTCAGAAGAAAAAAGGGAGATTACACATGCAGAACAAGCTCTTAGTTGGGTCATCATGGCATGAATCCATCACACCCCTGTACATGCTACATGAGGCTAAGTCCCTTAGTACCATCACACATAAACACAGACAGTCCAGTGACCCCGAGCGTTCCCAATGAAAATACAGAGAAGTAGAGGAGAGAAAGCAAGGCAGCCAGAGGCAGACCACAGAATACCAGGGAACATCTAGTCCAAACCTTTGTTTTACAGATGAGGAAAACGAGACCTGGAGTAAGGAAATGTCTTGTCAAAAGACACACAGTTTATGGCAGTCAGTATGAGAGTTGTATGCTGCTTTTTAACACGAACAAAAAAAGAGGAAAAAGGGAGGAGGAGGGGGGAAAGAAAGTAAAGTTGGGGGAGGAAAACTGTCTTCTGTGAGCAGACAGACCAGGGTTCTTATTCCAGTTTGGTTGTCTTTTGGGAAAAGTGCCTATGGAGTCTTAAAGTCTTCCCTAGTGCCTTCTGAACTCTCAAGAACCAGAGATTGGGTTCTGATTGTCTATCATTCTGTACAGTGCCCGCCTAGCAAGCTAGAGGCCCTGAGTTCAAAACCCAGTATCAAAACTAAACCGAACTATGGGGCTGGGAAGGTGGCTCAGTGGTAGAGCGCTTGCCTTGCATGCATGAGGCCCTGGGTTTGATTCCTCAGCACCACATAAGCAAAAAGAAAAAAGCCAGAAGTGGTGCTGTGGCTCAAGTGGTAGAGCACTAGCCTTGAGCTGAAGAGCTGAGGGACAGCACCCAGGCCCAGAGTTCAGGCCCCACAACTGGACCCCCCCCCCCCCCCCGAAAAAAAAAAAAAAAAAACCCAAACTAAATCCACAGGGATCTTCAGGTTTCTTCAAGGTTCTTTTGGCCCTGTGAGAGTGAGACCCAAAGAAAGGTTGGGTTGGGAAGGTGGTTCAGGGGTAGATGCCTTGCATGTATGAGGCCCTGGATTTGACTCCGCACCTTGGCACTGTGGCTAGCCTTGAGCTGAAGAGCTGAGGGACAGCTCCCAGGTCCAGAATTCAGGCCCCATGACTGACCAAAAAAAAAAAAAAAAAAAAAGAGGTCAAGAAAGAAGATAATGGACTCCAATTTGCTCCAAGTAAAACATGAAATACTTACAATAAGCTCAGAAGACAGAGTTCAAATCTTTGAATCAAACACCATCATCTAACTGAAGCCAAAAGAAGAGAGAGAGTTCAAAATCTAGTGAAGGCTGAAAACTGGAAGAAGAGTTTCTAAAACATACTCCTTTTGGTTCAAAGTAGATATTCAATGAAGACTTGAATGAAAAAAAATGAATAACTGCATTAACGGAGACCAGCAACAAACATTGAATTCTGTGACAGGTGCTGATTCTGCTTACAATCCTTACTCAGGGCACTTTTGGGGTCTACATTCTTTTTGTCCCCTCTGCTAGGACACTGAGTAATATTATAATGTATCCCTGGAAAATAGAGGAAAATCAGGGCAGATTTAAATAATAATAAAATTAAATAATAAAAATCTGATTTGATAAGAGATTGGAGGGAAAAGGCAGAAAGCCATTCTTAAAAGCAGCTGCTTTCCTTCCCTTCTTTCTCCTCACAGTTTTATGAGAACAGTACACTAGATCCTGGAGCAAAAAAAGACACAATCGCTGAACTCGCCAAACATCTCAAAACATGCACTAGAGGTGACTAAGCCACCTCCCCTACTCTTCCTAGCCCTTCTCTCCCCAGAGTCACTTGTTTGATGGAGAGGCATTGGCAGACTGCGACAGCGAGATCTGACTGCACTTCTCGAAGACGGCCTCTGCTGAGAGCTTGGGCAGCCCCTGGTCCAGAGGGCACTCATCCACCAAGCTGTTCATGGGCGTGGGGGGCAGTGGAGGGTCATCTTCATCTTGACTCAGTCCAGAAATCAGGGTGCTAGTTGCCCTGTCCGATTCCTTGTCCACCTGTTCCCTGGACACGTGTGCTGTCTCAGGCTGCCCTGAAGGGATCTTCATGGAGTCAAAATATGCTGAGAGGGCTTCTTGGAGCAAAGGCAGAAGTTTCTTTCGAGAGACCTGTGTGTTGCCTTGAAGATAGGCTTGGAGGTCAGGGTGGATGCTTGGCATAGAGGTCAACTTCAGGGCTGGGGAGTGGGAGCGTTCCAGGACTCCACAGATCTATAAAGGAGACAAGAAGGGAAGTGATACATAGCTTTGTGTAGCAAAGAGCTGAGGCTTCTAAGCAAGAGGCTTCGACAAAGGAGGCAGACTTCAGTTTTAATGCTTGCAACAAAAGAAACATAAATTTCATTTTAATAAGAAAATCTGAGCTGAGAGACATTATCTACAGTGAGAGCATGTGGATGATAATAGAATCTGAGCCAGAACCCAGGGGGCCCTCAGCTCTTAAACTAATGGGTTTTTTTTTTTGCTGACACTGGGTTTGAACTCAGAGAGTCTGAGCGCTGTTCTTTAGCTTTTTCTACTCAAGGCTGGTGCTCCATTACTTAAGCCTGTGAGAAAAACTTCTTTTCTTTCTTTTTTGTCGGTCGTGGAGCCTAAACTCTGGGTCTGGGCGCTGTTCCTCAGCTCTTCAGCTCAAGGCTAGTGCTCTACCACTTGAGCCACAGCACTACTTCCAGTTTTTTCTGCTAATGTGGTGCTGAGGAATCGAACCCCCCCCCCCCTTTTTTGGTTGGTTGTAGGTCTTGAACTTTGGGCCTGGGCGCTGTCCTTGAGTTCTTCAGCTCAAGGCTAGTGCTCTACCACTTGTGCCACAGCACCATTTCTGGCTTTCTGGTGGTTTATTGGAGATAAGAGTCTCATGGGGGCTGGTAAGGTGGCTCAGTAGTAGAGTGCCTGTCTTGCAGGCATGAGGCCCTGGGTTCGATTCCTCAGTACCACATTAGCAGAAAAAGCTTGAAGTGGTGCTGTGGCTCAAGTGGTAGAGTGCTAGCCTTGAGCTGAACAGCTGAGGGACAGCGCCCAGGCCCAGAGTTCAGGCCCCACGACCGACAAAAAAAAAAAAGAAGTCTCACAGACTTTTCTGCCTGGGGGTGGCTTTGAACCCTGATCCTCAGATCTCAGCCTCCTGAGTACCTGAGATTATAGACATGCGCCACTGGTGCCTGGCTGAAAAGCATCTTTTCTATCAAAGCAGTTTGTTTCCTTTCTGTTAGTCTTTAGAGAATTGTTTTTCTGAAGGGTTCCTGCTTTGGCAGGTGGATTAGTCCTTGTTTACTGCATCCTTTTCCTGAACACCTTTAATTAAGACAACCTGTTAGTAGTTCCTTGAATTTTAACCATATCCTATTAAGCAAGCCACATCCTTTTCCAGACAGTTGAACCTGAGCTCAGCTAATGTGAGCAGAGGGGTAGAGGGTGCTGGGTTAGGGATAAAAAGGGAGCAGCCTACCTGAGCACTGGTGGCTCATGCCTGTAATCCTAGCTACTCAGGAGGCTGAAATCTGAGGATCCTGGGCAGGAAAAGTCCATGAGACTCTTATTTCCAATAAACCACCAGAAAACCGGAAGTGGCACTGTGGCTCAAGTGGTAGACGACTTGCCTTGAGCTGAAGAGCTTAGGAACAGTGCCCAGGCCCAGAGTTCAAGCCCCACGACCAACAAAAAACAAACAAAAAAACAGAAAAAGTGGCACTGTGGCTCAAGTGGTAAAGCACTAGCTAACCTTGAGCTGACAAGCTCTGGGATAGCGCATGCCCCAAGACTACCAAAAAAAAAGTAGCCTGGCTCTGTGGCTTGCTTGATTTTTGGCAATTGGCACATTTTTCTGCAGAAGTAAACTTTGCTGAGTAATGTTCGTGTGTTTATCCTTTTTTTTTTCTTTTTCTTTTTGGGTCCGGTCATGGGGCCTGAACTCTGGGCCTGAGCGCTGTCCCTCAGCGCTTCAGCTCAAGGCTAGCACTCTACCACTTGAGCCACAGCGCCACTTCCGGCTTTTTTTTCTTTTTGCTTATGTGGTGCTGAGGAATTGAACCCAGGGCCTCAGGCATGCAAGGCAAGCGCTCTAACACTGAGCCACCTTCCCAGCCCCCATGTGTTTATTCTTCCTATGTACTACCCCAACATCCCAAGCTATTTTTAACAAGCCACAGCTCTATCTCCAGCTTTTTGGTAGTTGGAGTAAGACTTTTACATACTTTCCTGACCAGGCTGACTTTGAATCTGATTTCAGCTTCCTGTGTAGCTAGAATTACAGGGGCTCATGCCTGTAATCCTAGCTACTTATTTTCGAGTGCGTACCTGCTCTTGAAGATCTAAACTCTAACCTTACTTAGCTTGGAACTAGCACCTATACAGAACAGCTATATAGATTGGATAGAATACAAGGCTGGGTACCGGTGGCTCATACCTGTAATCCTAGCCGCTCCAGAGACAGATCTGAAGATCATGGTTCAAAGCCAGCTCAGGAAGGCAAGTCCACGGGACTCATATCTCCAACTAGCCAGGAGAAAACTGGAAGTACAGCTGTGTCTCAAAGTGGTAGAGCACTAGCCTTGAGCAAGAGAGTTAGGGACAATGCCTAGGCCCCATGACCGACCAAAAAATATTATCTCATTTAAATGAGCTACAGAACAACAGCAGAGAAGGGACTAGATTCTGAAAGGTAGGTAGTCTTCATGACATGATTAGTAAGAGCCACCATGTTTTGAGTATTCTGTACCCAGCAATATATGATATTAGGTTAATAACCAATAGGGACTAGTATGCCATTTTCAGATTCAAGTGATCTGATTTACCAGAGTTCAAAGGCAAGTAGAAAGGTATGTCTACTTGAATTATTTATTTTTTTTGTTGGTTGTGGGACTTGAACTCTGGGCCTCAGCGCTGTCCTTGAGCTCCTCAGCTCTAGGCTGGCATTTAAGCCACAGTGCCACTTCTGGCTTTGTTTATGTGGTACTGAGGAATCGAACCCAGGGCCTCATACATGCGAGACAAGCACTCTACCACTGAGCCACCTTCCCAGGCCCATTCTGTTTTTTTTTTTTTTATTAGTACCTATCAGTTGTTCAAGGGGGTTTTACTCTGACATATTCATATTTGCTTACAATGAACTCGGATCAGATTCACACCCTTCCCTTCATAAAATAATTTCAACAGGTTTCTGATTTTATTTATTAGAGTATGGGGAGGGCAAGGAGGGCCTAGGGGCTTGAATTGAACTCAGGGCCTAGATGCTATCCTTGAGTTTCTTTTTGCTCAAGGCTAGTACTCTACCAGTTGAGCCACAGCACCATTTCCAGATTTTTCTGAGTAGTTTGTTGGAGATGAGTCTTGTGGCCTTTCCTACCTGGCAGGCTGTGATTCTTGGATCCTGAATAACTAGGACTCCAGGCATGAACCATTTTATTTTTTGGAACAGGGTTTTGTGATGTCGCTCAGACTAGCCTCACACTCACTAGCCTACTGCCACTGCCTCTGTAGTGCTGGGATTAGAGGTGTGTGCTACCACATCCAGAACAATTTTTAGATCTAGTTTTTCCCACAATGTCAAAACTCCTATATGGTGAATAAAATCACACTGTCTTTCTGGAGGAGAAAACAAAGGTGAACAGATAGGGCAGATAGACCTTTCATGAAAACAAAGGACTATCTGGCTATATACATTTACA